GGGAGTGGAAAGTGGGAACAGAGACCCAGGTTCAAACCTCAGCTCTGTTACTTCCTGCCGTGGGACCTGGGGCCAATCACTTTCCTCTATGGGCCATGGTTTTTCTATCTACAAAATGGACATCCTAACACCTACCTTGCCAGGTGCTTGTGCCAATCAAATGAGATCAGAGTAATCTCTAGGATACCAAGAGCTTATCTGCCCCAGAACTGTGCCCCAGGAATTGAATGTGTGCACATTATTGTGATAATCAAGGTTGGTTTAGAGTAGGAGGGGGAGGGGTGGCCACAGAGGGAGAAGATTCTGGATCCAAACAATGCCCAAGAACAGGGGAGGCAGGGAAAGCCCCCTTGTCCCCAGACCCACTTCTGTCCCAGACTTGGTGTCCATCCTGCCATTCTTGCCTGCTTGTCCCTTGAAGTACATGGGGAAAGCTTCATCTTGACTGACCTCCCGCCTGTTATAAGGCTGGCAGGCAGAGGGGGTGCTCAGGACTAGGAGACCTCACAGCCCTCTCTTTGGATCAGAGAAGTCAATTTGGGAAAGCTGCAAAGAAGAGCCTGGCTGGTCACTGAAGGGGGCTTCCTGACCCCCAACCTGCTATCACTTGTCTAATGGGCTCTGTCATGAACTCTAGTGTTGAGGGTCGGGCGTGGTGGCTCACTCCTGTAATCCCAGCACTTTAGGAGGCTGAGGCGGGAGGATTGCTTGAGCCCAGGACTTTGAGATCAGCCTAGGCAACAGACTAAAAAAAACTAAAAATAAAAAAATTAGCTGGGCGTGGTGGTACATGCCTGTAGTCTCAGCTCCTTGGGAGGCTGAGGTGGAAGGGTCATCTGAGCCCAGGATGCTGAGGCTGCAGTGAGCCATGATCCTGCCACTGCATTCCAGTCTGGGTGATGGAGTGAGACCCTGACTCAAAAATAGATAGATAAGATAAAATAAATAAAAAATAAAGTGATGCGATGGAGAGGGAAGACAGAAAATCAACCCCCTGCATGCACGGGTCCTTCCAGCTCTTACTGGGCAGGAATAATCCCCAATTCTTTGCTCTGCCACCTCTGTGGAATGTTACACTAGCTGCACAAGGTAAAAACAACTGGGTCAATGAGAGAGACATGGCTCATAGAAAAGCTGTGACTCGCCCAAGGTCACACAGCTGGTAGAGTGGCCAAGTCAAACCAAACCCATGTGCTTGAGGTCTCAGATCTCTGTGATCTCGTGACAGACATCCTGCGGAGGGTTACAGAAGGGCTGCGCCAGGCACCTGGGAGTGTGGTCTACACCAGCCTCCACCCTCTGGCGGATTGTGATGTGACAGGCGCCAAGGCAGAACCAGGGGGTCGGGGAGAAAGACTGAAACCCTGGACAGAAGCTGTGAGCTCTGAGCATCCAGACTTGTGATGTCTCAGTTCCAGGACAGACGGGCCTAGGTTCAAATTCCAGTCCCTCTACTTGCTAGCTGTGTGACTTCAAGCAAGTGAGTCCACTTCTCTGAGCCTGCACTACAAAACACCTATCCCAGAGGCTGTTTGACTGGACCTAGGATGTTGGCACTTGATACCTAGTAGGTGCTCTGAATGTGGGAGCTGGCATCAGGGAGGTTCCCCACCAGCTGGACTATGGACACTATTTCCAGCCTCTCCACTCCACGTGCTTTCTTAAGAAAGTATCTCCTATGGTGGGAAACTTCCCCGCCAGCCCACCATGCTGATCATTGACATCCTTCTCATAACTCGGGACGTGTCCAGAAAGCTCTGTCTAGCGTAAACAGAGTCTGGGCCACATCTCCCAGACTCTGTCAGGGACACTAAGAAGCAGGACAAGGAAATGATGCTGGCCCTGTTGGCCCCTGGGATGGGGCAAAGGCCACGTCTCGGACGCAGGAGGTGCTGGCAGCCTGTGGGCCCCGAACGGAAGCCTGGGCTGTGCTGGGGCCAGTGAGTTTGGGGGAAAAGGGGAGTCAGAGCTGGCAGCGAGGGCAGCAGTGTGTCAGCACGGGAGCCCAGGTTAGGGTGCTGGGCAGGCCCAGGCTAGACACCGCCCATGCTCCACGCTGTGGCCAGAGGCATCCCCTTTAAAGTGTCAAGCACGCCAGACTCCATCTTGCTCCAGATAAAAGCTCAGGTCGTGGTCTGGCCCCCCTGCACTCCCCAGCCCCATCCCCATGCTCCAGCCCCGCTGACCCCCCTCATGACATGACAGCCATTCAGGCTGCAGCACCCTCTGTTCCCTCTGCCTGGAATGCTCTTCCCCTCCCTCACAACCCCCTCCAGGGGCCTTCCCAGACCATCCTGTCTAAAAGAGCAGCCCTACCACCCTCTGCCCCCTCACCCTGTTTTATTTTTCCTTATGATGTGCCACTACCTGGTGTTACATAGTATATCCATTCGGTGTTTTGTTGGTCTTCCTGACAGAACACAAGCCCCATGAGGGCCGGGACTAAACAGTCCACTGGGCATCTCCAGCATCTGGCACAGAGGAAACTCAAGACACATTTTTTTAATGAATGAACACATGATTGATCTAATTCTGGCTCCACAATTCTCTGGCTTTCGGCAGGACTTTTCCCTTCTCTGAGACTTCTTTTATTTTTTCAAGATAGAGATGGGGTCTTTCTATGTTGCCCAGGCTGGTCTCAAACTCCTGGCCTCAAGTGATCTTCCCGCCCCAGCCTCCCAAAGTGCTGGGATTATGGGTATGAGCCACCGCACCTGGTCCCTACTCTGAAACTTCTAATGCCAAGGATAGCAAGCACCCATCTCCTGAGATGGTTGTTTCCATTAAATAAAGTAATACAGGCAGAGTGAAAAAGGCTGGTGCACAGCAGGTGCTCAGTAACAAGCAGAGCCTCTCTGCTCATCACCGGGTGGGGGGGGGCCTCAGGGTGTCCCCAGCTGTGAGGTCTTGGGAAAATCAGTGATCTCTCTGCGCCTCAATCTCTTCGTCTGTCACATGTGGAAGTAGGAGGCCCCATCTCCCGCACAAGGTGGTTTGATAGATGCCCAGGCAGAGCCCTGGTAAAGCTCCCAGCAGGGGTCTGGCACACAGCAGGCATTCACCAGTGGCAGCAGCTGCTGTCTGCCATCCCAGAGAGTCTAGGATTTGGGTAGAGGCCCCACCACTTTCTTATTCTGTGATCCTGGAGAAGTGGTTTAACGTTACTGAGCCTTAGTTTCCTTATCCATAAAATGGGAATATAGTACCTTCCGCACAGCTGTCCTGAAGACATGATGAGACTGTGCACCTAAAGGGCTTCACAAAGCTCTAAGGAAATGTGCGGTGGCCGGCAGGAGGGCAAGGCACAGACATGCAGGACAGGGCCCAGGGGTGATGGGAGAACCCTTCAGAATGCAGAGAGCAAGGATAGGACCAAGAGTTGTGCTCCACCGAGTCCTGAGGTGGGTTGCTGAGGGAGCCCACAGCTCAGAAGCCCAGCGCCCCCCCCCACAGGCCTGGGGCCTGCAGAGAAGACACTCAGCTCTCCACTCCCTGACCCTGTCCCCTCCTCTTCTTCAGGCCCCATTGAGGACCTCTCCTGATCAGCTCTGGAGGGGGAGTTTCCAAGGGAGGTGGGTGACAGCTGCAGGCCCCAGAAGAGGTATCTTCTGCCTCTGGCAGCCTCCTACCCTACCAGAAACACCTCGTTTGTCCAAGGAACACACTCATGTTGAAAGGAGGGGATGGAGAAAAGACCAGAAACAGTCGCCTCAGCCACCATGACTGCTCAAGACAGCACAGCCCAAACCTCAGCACGGAGCCTTAGATCTGCTTTCAACCCCAGACCAACCTGGCCTCTCCCCTGCATCCTGGGAAAGACGCCCCTGAAGAGTGGGTCCCTGGGAGGGGATGATGCCAGATTCCTCAAGCTCTACCTGGGAGTGTTTGAGGAGAGGAACTCCAGGTCCCAAACTGACCTGGGCCTTCCCATTCAGCTGTCGACATGGATGACTCAGCCAGTGAGTCCCAGACCGCAAGCTCCACGAGGCATGCTTTCTTGCCCGCTCTCTGAAGAATTCTTAGTTCCTAGGAGAGTGCTGGCCCTTATCAGGTGCTGAATAAATACAAGGGGAAACCCCAAAGACCCGGAATTACCTTTTGGAGGGCAAGCACCTTACCATACAGGCTTTTCCCACTAGGTAAGTGTTCTAGGTACCCACTGACACCAGTGTATCGGTTAGTGTTGTTCTGAGAGGCTGCATGGCGGAAGAAACATCCCAAGTTGTGGCAAACGGGCGACTGTTGGCTCTCCCACCACAAGGCACCTGCCTAGACCGCACTGAGTATTCAGCAGCTTTTGACCCCAGTGCCTCATCCTCCCTATTCACCCAACCTCGCCCCTAGATTTTTTTTGTTTCTCTGGATGAAAAAAAGTCCTCCAAGGGAAATGTTTTTCCAGCGTGGAAGAGGTGAAACAAAAAACAGCAGAAGCGCTAAAAGGCATCAAAATGGATGTGTTCGAAAACTGTTTTGAGCAGTGGGAAAAGCGTCTCAATAGGTGTATTGCATCAAATGGAGAGGGCTTGGAAGGTGACTGTAGTTTAAACATGTAAGAATATACAATTTTTTATAAATAAATTCCAGGTTTTTGGGGTACCCCCCTCATACACGTTGAATGGATGTATCCATCAATGATTCAGTGAATAAAGCAATGAATCAATGAATTACTAAAAGGGAAGTTTCCTGAGGGTTAGGATATCCCCCTATGTTCTTCGATAAATCTCCAGGGTCCAGAATCGAGCCTTGGCACATGGGAGGTGCAAGTAAATGCATGTGAACAAGCGATTGAATCTATCACTGAATCAATGATTCGCTGGAATGGAAAGACTTTCTGAAAGGGAAGATTTCCATCTGTTTTAGGGCTGTCTTCTCAGTGCCTGGGGTGCACAGTGGGTGCTGACTGAACCCGTGAATGAATGAATGAATGAGCTGGCAGTACAAAGATCACAAAGCATGAGACACAAAGGAGTCGCCCTGCCCCCAGCCACCACTCGCCTCAGGGTTTTTTAAATAATTTGTCTGTTGTTTTTAATTGTTGAGGCAGTAATACTTGGTTCAATGAAACTGCAATATACAGAGAGGTGAAATAAATAGCTTATATATATATAATATATATAATATAGCTGGTTTTAAAATATTCCCTTATCATTGGTGTACTAGGTCACGTGAGTCACGGAAGGTCGATAGCAGCATCCTCCAGAACTGCGAGCAATGCAGGGTCACCATGATTGGACGAGGCGTCTTTCGTCGGGAGGTCGAGGCGCGGAGAGTTCCCAGAGGCACGCCTTCCCTGCGCGGTGTCTCGGGACAGCTTGCAGTGGACAATAAATAAATGACTGCAAACCAGAGAGCGATTTTTGTTGGAGTTTGGGGCAGGGATAGAGGATTAGGAAATGGCGGAGTTTGTTGGGGGGGGTACTACTTTCTCTTTGTTTTTCTTTTTTCTTTCTTTTTTTTTCAGAACCTTTGGGAAAAAGGACTTTGGTTTCTTGGAGTGTCGGTTTCCTCATTCAAGTCCTCCTCTGGGGACGAGCTTAGAGTTGTCTGTTCCTAGAGAGAGACAAGCACCTGTGGGTTGACAACTGTCCCTCTACGTGAGTCTTTTGTCATCGGGGGTTTCAAGTCAACAATAAAATCCTTATCACCCCTCCCCCCAAGAGTTTTGGTTCAGTTTTTGTTTTCTTTTAAACACAATGTACAAAAATAGAGCTTCTTCCTTATTTTTCATGTAAAAATATTCCTCTGATGCAGTTCTCGGGGAGTGTGAATGTGGCCGGGGCAGCCTGGGGGGCCGTGGCAGCACAGCCTAGCCAGGGTGCGTGGGGCGGATCCGACGGGACCTCTTGGTCACCGTCGTGTACTTGAAGGGCTTCTGCAGCTCTGCCTGCCCCTTGGGGTAGCGCTTCATGAAGTGCACGTCCTGCTGGTTCTCCCGGGTCTTGGGGCCCTTCCGCGGCCGCCCCTTCTTGGTGAAGCCCACGTACCAGCCGGAGTACTTAGCCGACATCAGGGCCGTGTAGTTGTTCTCCAGAACCTTCTCAATGAACACACACTCCTTGCTGGTGCCATCAGGCTGCAGAGGAAAGAGGAGGAGTGTTAAGGACAGAGGTATTCAATGACACTCCTTAAGGCACAGTAAGAAGACGCTCTTCAGGACCACTGCCGTAGTTCCAGGGACCATGGCAATGGGGTTTTGCAGTGGGGGAGAGAGGTTGGGCCCAGCTCCGAATACAGCCTGGGCAAGTGGCAGTTTACAGCTAAGGAGCAGAGAGGGGGTCGGTGGATGGAAATGACTAAGAGGAAACATCAGGGGTGAGGGGGATTCCGCCTAAACCAACCTAGCAGGATTCTTGCCGAAGATGGGCCAGGGTGACCAGACATCCCCTGTGGGCTGGAGGAGTATGAAGAACCTGATTAGATATCAAGGGTGATCACAGAACAAGGGTGACAGGGTCCTGCTAAACTGACCTGGCAGGGTTCTTGTTAAAGGAAGAACCTTCTTTTACAATGTGTGAAGATGCGTCTAAGAAAATGTTCAGGAGCCAGACTTAGCCAATCAAAACATTATTACCCTTCAGGCCTCAGTGATTGGTTCATGGGTAAGCATGTCACCCAAGCCATCCAATCAGAGTGTTCCTTGAGACTTTTGCCCAGGCAATCCCAAACACAGGTGGGATTAAACTTGAGGAGTATGTAAGGCAGAAGCAGAGGCAGCCATTTACCATCATGATGAGAAATCCTGACAGTGAAGCCAGAACAAATGAAGCCAAGCCAAGAGGAAGAGAACGAGAGAAACTAAGTCCTGGTCACATCATTTGGGCTCTGGATCCCGCTGCATCTGAAGCTCAAGTTACCTCACTGTGATGTGGGCCAATAACATCTCATTTCCTTTAAACTGGCTGACATTGTATTCTATCACTTGCAACAGAAATGAGTTCTGACAGATCTGCACAAAACCCGACGTGAAGTCAGCTACTCAATTGTAACTCAAGTCCACTGTGATATAGTTAAATATAAATTACATTTAATGTGGGATGTGGTGCATTTTGATACTTGGTATGAAGCAGAGTGGGGGGTGGGTTCCAAAAACCAGTGATTTAGCATGGCCAAACTCCAAAGCCTGTGCCCTTGGTTCTGGAATCTCAGGCTCCTGAGCAGATGTGTGAACTCCCTTGGGAGACTCAGTATGCTGTGCAAGGAGCACTAGATTTGGAGTCAGAAGCATCCTTACAGAACCTCAGGCTAGTCAGGTCCATTCTCTAACCGTCAGTTTCCTCACCCACCAAATGGGAACAATGACTTCTGCATCACAGAGGCAATGTGAAGGATGACGCTTATAAATGAGTCTGACGCACAGTAGGAACTGGCTAGAGTATTTCTGAAGGGCAGTTGGTCCCGGTAGGGGTGGCCTGCTTCCCTTGGACCTGATCCGGACGCAGGGTGGTGGGAAGCAGGGCTGGGAGCGCCTCCCTGAGACAGCCGCATTGCTCGGTGGGGGCAGGCTGGGAAACACAAAGCTGGAAGGCCTGAATTAGCAGCACTCGAGTTTCCAACGAACATCTCCAAATTTAGGCCGGGCCCACTCCTCGTTACGGACGGATGCCCAGCCAAGTTGGAAGCCCAGCGGTCTGGCTGTGTGTGGAGGCTGAGGTGCGAGTTCCAGCCTTTTGTTTGAAGTGGAAAACCGGCTGGGGCTTCCAGGAACGTTCACCTTTGAGCAGAGGGCAAGCTTGGGCCCTGCAGACAAAGTGCTGAACTTTGCAGAAAGGGACAGGCAGGGTAAGAAAACACTCTCTGCAGGATGAGACCTTTTGAGGAGGCGGTGGAACAGCCATGCGGTGGGGGGGGGCAGTAAGCCGTAGGTGCTGGGAGACAACAGTGGAAGCCAGAGGACAGCAAGAGTGGGGTGAGCAGTGAGGGACTATTGTGGGGGAAGCCGGGGCAAATGTGCAAGGCAGGTAGAAGAGCATGACACCGGGGCTCTGGGTCCCACATAGAAAATTCTATAAGTTGTCTGTCTAACCCGAATTCAGATTCTTGCTGAATCTCAAAAGAACAGTCAGAGCAAACTGAACAAAGGTTACACCATGCTGCTTCCCACCCTAGAATACCTGCCACTGCATGGAAAACTGCTTTCATCCTTCAAGGCTCAGTTCAGTAATGCCTCCTCTGGGAAGCCTTTCCTGACTGCTATTTATCTCCCTGGGTGACTCCTCTTCTTCCTTTAAGACTCCATTAAAGCATCAAGCTTTGCTGGGCTCACATAATCTATCTAGTGAACCCTATCCCCCCACCCACCCCAACCCCATAGGGCAATACCATATCTGCCTGCCTTCTCATTGGCCCAAGAGTTTCTTGAGGTCAGGACTGCTTCTTGGCTGCTCTAATGGCCTGGCACAGGCCTCAGCCTAAGTCAGGGGCTACCCCAAGCATCTGTGGTCAAATGGATGAAGACTTTCCCTAGGATGGAAACGGGGGAATGACACAGGAAAGAAGTTTCCTCCTAAAGAAAATAATCCCTGGCCGGGCACAGTGGCTCAAACCTGTAATCACAGCACTTTGGGAGACTGAGGTGGGAGGATCGCTTGAGCCCAGGAGTTTAAGACCAGACTGGGCAACAAGGCGAGACCTTGTCTCCACAAAAGTCAAAGAAGTAGCTGGCCATAGTGGTTTGCGCCTATAATCCAAGCTACTCAGGAGGCTGTGGGGGAAGGATGGTCTGAGTCCAGGAGTTCAAGATCAGCCTAGGCAACATAGCAAGACCTTGTCTCCACAAAAAATATATTTTTTTTTTTTTTTGAGTTGGAGTCTCACTCTGTCACCCAGACTGGAGTGCAGTGGCCGCTCCCGGCCACCGCAGCCTCGACCTGCAGGGCTCCGGCGATCCTTCCGCCTCAACCTTCCGAGTAGCGGGAATTACAGGCATGCGCTACCACGCCCGGCTGATTTTTTGATTTATTGTAGAGATGAGGTCTCGCTGCCCAGGCGGGTCTCGAACCCGCAGGCTCAGGCAATCCACTCACCTCAGCCTCCCAAAGGCGCGGGATTACAGGCTGAGCCACCGAGCCCGGCCACAAAAAATATTTTTAAAATTAGCTGGGCATGGTGATACATGCCTGTAGTCCCAGCTACTCAGGAGGCTGAGGCGGGAGGATTGCTTGAGACCAGGAGGTTGAGGCTGCAGTGAGCTGTGACCATGCTACTGCACTCCAGGCTGGGCAACAGAGTGACTCAAAAAAAGAGATAAAAGAAGAAAAGAAAATAGACACTGCCCCTGGATTCTTTCCAGATGTCCCACAGACAGCCCTGAGCTAGGAGAGGCCCCTCTGGAGGATACACTGATTAGGGAGACAGAGCAAGCTGAGTGCTGGATACCTCTACCTGGCCCACCTGGTCTCCCTATTCATTCATTCACCAGTTATGGATTGCCAGCTACAGGGCTGAAATTCACCGCCCTTGGGAACCAGCTCTGGGGCTTATGACTACCACAAGTCTCCCTTCACATCCTCAGGTACAAGTGGACAAGAAGCTAACAGCAGGCTGCACCGCACCTGGGCTTGGCCCTTGCTTCTGCTCCTGATCACCTCTAAGACCCTGCTCATCACCTACAGAGACTGCACAAATGTGGCCAGCTGTGGTGGCTCATGCCTATAATTCCAGCACTTCAGGAAGCTGAGGCAGGAGGACCACCTGAGTCCAGGAGTGTGAGACCAGTCTGGACAACAAAGCAAGACCTTCTCTCTACAGAAAAAGCAAAAAATTAGCCAGGTGTGGTGGTAACACACCTGTGGTTCTAGCTACGCAAGAGGCTGACACAGAAGGATTGCCTGAGCCCAGGAAGTTGAGGCTCTGGTGAGCAGTGATTGTGCCACTGCACTCCAGCCTGGGCAACAGAGGGAGACCCTGACTCAAAACCAAAACAAAAAAAAGTGCTTGGGCCCATCCCCAGAAATTCTGACTAGTGGTTCAGGCAAGGCAGAAGCACCAGTATGTGGAGAAGAAGTAAATATCGTAGCCCAGAACCTTGGTGATTTGGCAGAATTTGATCTTCTCTCCTCCCCACCCAATCCCCCCGTCAGCTCTTTTTTCCCCAGTTGGAGTCCTTGGTCCTTCTACTTGCTCTAAGACTAAATCCTGATGACACCATCTAGATCTAACATCTAGATCCACCATCTGGATCTGGCCCCTAGGTCCAGATCTGAAACTAGAATTACCCCCTTGGACTTTGTAAGCTATACATATACCTTTCAAATTCTGTCCCCCTCCCTTTTTTTTGAATCGTGGTCTCTCTGTCACCCAGGCTGGAGCACAATGGTGCAATCACAGCTCACTGCAACCTTGACCTCTTGGGTTCAGGTGATCCTTCCACCTCAGCTTCCCGAACAGCTGGGACTACAGGCACGCCACCATGCCCGGCTAATTTTTTTATTTTTTGTAGAGACAAGGTCTCGGTATGTTGCCCAGGTTGGTCTCAAACCCTTGGGCTCAAGCGACCGTCTTGCCTCAGCCTCCCAAAGTGCTGGGATTACAGGCATGAGCCACCATGGCTGGCCAAGAAAATTCCCTTTTGCTTAAGGCATCCTGAGTCAGGTTTCAAGTGGTCTTAACAAAGACGAACTGGTGGGCAGGACCTCCCTGACAGGGTCTGTGGCTCTAGGTTGCCCTGGGTGATCACTGGTCACCGCAGGCAGGAGCCTATGAGACAAAGCCATCTGGGTTGAGTCTCCAGAGACTTAGGGAGAAATGCCCAGCACATCATGCTAGACACTCAGCAACTGTTTACAGAATGAAAAAAAAGGACTGGGGAAGGGGGGTGTGGGTTCCAGAAAGGTGCAGGAGAAGGGGGCTACCTTGGCATGCAGGAGTTGGGCCAGAATGTCGGCGCATGATTGGTACAATACAGCAGAGGGGATAGCTCCGGCCAAGGGCCTGCAGCAACTGAAAGGCCCTGTGGAGGGCTGCAGTGCCAGAGACATGTAAGGCTGGCACCCAGAGTCAAACAGTCCAAGGAAGCCATCCCACTGAGCCACTCCAGGGGGGCCAGAGCTGAGGCCAGGGGTTCCCACAGGTATGAAGTGACCTTGTGACCTGGCTTCGAAGGGCCAGGGAACTGACACGTAACAAGCACCTACTAAGCATCCACATCATGGTTCCCATTTTACAGATGAAAACACTGAGGCTCAGTAAGGTCAGGGCACTGTGACTCCCTTGGCCTCATGTGGATAACTCTGGTAAGAAGTCTAGGTTAAGAAGTCAGTCCATAGAAAGCAAGGACCATACTTCTTTTTCTCTGGTGCCCTCATAGCCGTTAGCCAGGTACACAGAACACAGATGGATGGATCTAGAACTGGCCCTCAGTGAGCTCCCAGTCTGATGTGGGATGCAGGTAACACGACAGACAATGACAACCCAGGTCAGCAGGCGGCAACAGAGTTCCGTTCAAGGGACTGAGGGCTCTGGGGAGGTGGGCTGACAGAGGGGTCAGGGAAGGACGAGCCAGGACTTGGGCAGATGGACAGAGGGAAGAGCAGTCCTGGCAGAGGGAACAGCATGGACAAAGCCTGAGCCCCCCTCCCCGCCCCCCAAAGAACAGTGGTCCACAGTGCTGTGTATCTGGGTTATAAGGAATGCACGGCCCTCAGTGTCCCAGATCGAGAGGGGGAGGACCCATGGGTGGGTCTTGAGCTGGGTGGAGACGGGCAGAGGTAGGGGCTGACCCCGTCGTGCTGCAGGAACCGGGTGTGGGCGGTGGGGAGGGCTGGGGCGGGAACCCACACAGCCAGGT